CCCCAAAACCCCAAAACCCCAAAACCCCAAAACCCCAAATAACAAGTTAATGTTTGAATAAAGAAATAGGTTTTATATAATAAAAAAGAGTAATATTAAATAGCAATTCTTACCAATGAGTACTCGAAAGAAAGGAAAAAGAACGTTTGTACCGGGAGAAATCAAAATTAAGAAGGGCCTAGTTAAGAACAAAATCAAGAAAGTTAATCTAGCCAACTATAGAAGCGGAGTCCGGAGCAATGACAATACTCCCCACAAGAAGAACCAATACGTCTCAAGTAGGGATTTGTAATTATCTTTAGAAAGGGATAATAATCAGCCTAAAGAGGGGGATCTCTCTACAATGAACGTACCGAGGATGAAATAATACGGACTCCTTGCAAATGTCGAAGTCGCCTTCTCGTTTTAGAAATCAATATTTTTCACCCAACCAATCGAGAGGCAGGAACAAGAATGCAGGCTATAACTCAAACTTTAGGAGTCCCAATGGGAGAAATTTACAAGATTCGTTTAATACTATAAATCAGTCACACGGAGGAATGCAGTCAATCGATATGGGAACCTCAATTTCAACCGTCAACAACTATATGGTATATCCAAGAGATAATATGGGTAACTCCTTCAATGACATGAGTCAGCATACAGGGCCGGAAGGTCAAAATTATATGCTCTCGATGTCAACAAACATTAATGTTGGAATAGTCAACAACAAGGAAGTGCCAAATCAAAAAGTGCAAAGAAAACAGCCGAATAATATGGGCTTAAAGAAGAACTTACAGTCCAGAGGAAATTATAGGACCAAAAATTAAAAGGAGAGTCAAGCCTCAAGGCATTAAAGATTACTATAACTCCAGAGTGCAAGACAGTCAGAACTTTTCGCGCATCAACCGGAGCAAAGTTCAGGAAAGCTTGGCTGCAGCTTCCGGCTTGTTCAGTCCTGATGAGACAACTGAGCCCTTCGAACACAAACCCATCGACAGCCAGATCGGTCCTCTCCGCAGAGAACGCGACTACTCCGTCGACAGAGCCGGAATGCGGAACCGGAACGCCAATGCCGGCTTGGCGTCGCTCGTGTTGTCTCCGGGTGCAGAGCCCGGCATGAGCCACGGACCGGGGAGGCCGCTGCTGAACGACAGCGTGATGTTCAAGTCGACGAACGGACCTGGACACATGGCAGGAGCAATGTACAATACAAAGAGCGTCGTCGGAGCCCTCAGTGGCCGACCAGGCGTTTCATCGCCAGGCAAAGACTCCAGGAACATCAAGCTCGATCCAATCAACATGGGTATGTTCAAGCGTATTCTAGTACTCTTGCTTTGGCTTCGGTGTTGTTTCACCATCCAATGTTTTCTAGAAGCGTTTATTGCCCCAAAGCAAGCCAGTTTACAGCTTCGATTTTGAGAATGCTGCTTTGCTTTGCACAAACTCTAGAATTTTGGAAATGCTAAATAAGTCTAGAGTCACTGTTAGTCTTAATTTTATTTTGTGTAAGCACCAATAGGGTAATTACAAATTTTGTTCAAAGTATGCAGTGGAAGGTTGTTGCTGGACGAGCCATTAGTGCTCTAAATTATGTCTTCTCAAGCGACTGCCTTATGAATGTTTTGAATGTGGGTGGCCCAGATAAAATTTTGGGCTTTCTTAGACTATTACTGACTGTATAGGCATGATAAAATCTGGAAACGCAGGCAAGAGCATTCTCAGAAAAGAGACCGAAATCAACCACAACCAACTTGGTACTTGTTACAATAACTTTAGACGACGCTCCAGTAGCCAGGAAGAAAAGCAACAAACGAGCCTCTAAGAAAGTCCACAACAGAATCACCATCAGGGAGTCCAGTCTGAACCCGGTGAGCAATCTCAGTGACAAGAAGAGTCCAGATGACATGAGTAAGAACTCTCGAAACAAAGACAGTGATCACGCTCGTGGTGGAAGCACTACTGGAAGCAGAGTCAACTCCAATGAGACTCCGAACCCGATGAGAGACCAGACTCCATCTCAGCTGACGAGCAAGAAGTCGCCATCACCAGAAGAAGTCAAGGAACCTCCAAAGCCTAAGAAGCTGATATTTCCGATGGATACATTAGACGTGCTTGAGAATTACCCTGACATGCTCTGCAGTTACGAGAAGAAAGAAATCCTTAAGTATCAGACTGTGTATTACTTTGACAAGCTTAAGCGAAAAGCGAACAAAGGTCCGGGGCCTCGTACAGGCTCTCACAATCACGGCTACGACAACGACCAGGGTGAGTATCTCTTCGAAGACACTGACCACATTGCTTACCGTTTCGAGATCATGCGGAAGCTCGGCAAGGGCTCATTCGGAGTTGTCCTCAAGTGCAAAGACCACCTCAAGAATGTGGCTTGTGCAGTCAAAGTTATTAGAAATAAATAAGAAATTGCAGAAACAAGGAATGGTTGAAGTAAGAATTCTTGAGCATCTTAAATAAATATGACCCTGATGATAAAAAGAATGTTGTTAGAATTCATGAATATTTTCATTTTAGAGGACATTTATGAATAGTGTTTGAAATGTTGTCTCTTAACCTGTACGAATTTATCAAGACCAACAATTTTTCAGGATTTGGTGTTTCCTTGACAAGAAGGTTTGCTATTCAGATCCTAATTTCTCTTATTTACATGAAAGAGCACAAGGTGGTACATTGAGACTTAAAACCAGAAAACATATTATTGAAAAAGCATAATAGAACAGGGATAAAACTTATCGATTTCGGTTCAAGTTGATTTGAACCCGAATAAAGTGTATACATACATCCAGAGTAGATTCTATCGAGCTCCTGAAGTTATTCTCGGTATTTCTTATTCTACTTCGATTGATATGTGGAGTTTTGGTTGAATCCTCTATGAGCTACATAATGGCTATCCTCTCTTTGCTGGAGAGAACGAAAATGAGCAACTCCAATGAATCATGGAGGTGAAGGGAACACCTCCATATTCCGTATTAGCTGCTGCTTCAAGGCGGAAGACCTTCTTTGATAAAAATTATAACCCAATTCTAGAGCCTAATTCTCATAACAAAGTCAGAAAACCTGGAGAGAAAAGCCTAGCAGAGTTGATGAATTGAGAAGATGAATCCTTCGTAGACTTTATCGACAAGTGAATAGAATGGAAGGTTGAAGAAAGGCTTACTCCTGAAACTGCTCAACAACACCCCTGGATTCGGGAGGGCTTAAAAGAAATTGCTAAAAATAACAGTAAATATGCTGAAAACAAGAAGGCTAAAGAAGCATCTTAAAATTAATCTAATTATTTTACAATATTTTACTAGAGCTTTGGGGTTTTGGGGTTTTGGGGTTTTGGGGTTTTGGGGTTTTGGGGTTTTGGGG